GAGGAAGAATACTTAGTGTGGTATCAAATGTCACAACGTAACTTGGTGATTATAAAGATGCTCTACAGGTGTCTCCGATGGTGTTTGTTGAGTTGGCATAGATCGTGATAAGGATTTGTCACTCCGATTGTCGGAGAGGTATCTCTGGGCCCTCTCGGTAATGCACATCACTATAAGCCTTGCAAGCAATGTGACCAATGAGTTATTTGTGGGATGTTGCATTATGGAACGAGTAAAGAGACTTGCCGGTAACGAGATTGAACTAGGTATTGAGATACCGACAATCGAATCTCGGGAAAGTAACATACCGATGACAAAGGGAACAATGTATGTTGTTATGCGGTTTGACTAATAAAGATCTTTGTAGAATATGTAGGAACCAATGTGAGCATCTACGGCCCGCTATAGGTTATTGACCGGAGATGAATCTCGGTCATGTCTACATAGTTCTCGAACCCGTAGGGTCCGCACGCTTAACGTTCACTACAAGAAATATGTCAACTAGTGACCTTGTGTCAGTGACCCTGGAAGAATTGGTCATAGATCTATGACCATTTCAGATCAATTCGTCAAAAGTTGTTCGGGGGGCTTCAAACACTAAACTATAACGACCATTTTGGTTAGAAAGGTCGTAATTTCCTTACACTAAATGGTCATAAAGCAGATAGCACTAGTCCGCTGCCTTATTTCTAGCTGATCATGACCAATATAGAAGGTCATAACCTTATATATTGTGGTGGGTTGCTATGACTAGGCGCCACCTCATCAGTTTTGCCTATGTGTCATGTCCATTTGGCATTTTTTGCCCCAGGTTGTGAAGCAACCTATATTTCTGTCATTCCCAAAATTCCCAAAAAAATCTCATAAATTCTTTGGGTCATATGTTCGTAAAATATGTAAAAAACCTTCCTTTCCTAGTTCAAAAATAATTCAACAATATTCATTTTCATATTTTGTTCAGAGCAACACTTTGTGAAGGAAGTACCACTTTGGCATGTCCAAATAGTATCCATTTTCTACAGTGCTTTCCTATGCCCAAATAACCATCCTCCACCAAATGCTAGCTCAATCCATTTATTATTTTGAGCCCAGCTTCAACATTCATATTTATGTCCAGTGTGGTACTTTCCAAAGCAAGTACCACCTAGGCTCCTCCTTTTGAGCTGAAAATTTGTGAAGACGGTCTTCTTAATAACTGATCATCCTCAGCCAAAACTCACGCCCATTAGCCATGTACATTTCCTGTACCGCCAATCAAACAATTGGCTGCTAATTCATGTTTGAGCATCGATCGATCTCCTCGTGAGAATATTATGTTGTAATTTTATTCCTAGCACCTACCTCGGGAGTTCCCAGCCCACTAGACCTGCCTAGGCCACCCAGAACAAATGGCAACGCCACGGTCACGCGGTGACCATGCGGCGGGCATGCGAGTTTACGTGCTTTAGAGTTGGGGCCCTCGACCACCGCCCAAACCTCGACGTATCGCCACCAAACCATGTATTTATGATTAAATAGGTACTTATGTAACTAGAAATCATTTTTGGAAAAAATAAATAGCAAACTATGAGGCAGCTGCAGTTCAAATTTGACCCGCTTCCAACTGAATCGGCGAAAATTTGTCTTTTTCACGAGAGGCGGATCAAAACTTTTTACACCCAACCATTTTGTCAATTGTGCATTAAATATGTCCTAGTATTTTAGAAAATTGATTTGGTCCAATTTTGCAACAATTATTTGGGAGGTCCTTCACAAAAAACCTCCTTTTGGGCATTCAAAAAATGGAAAATGGTTTTTCGTCAAAAGAAAATGAAAACTTCCTTAGGCAACATTGTTTGCCATTCCAATACGCACCCGTGTGCACAGTATGAGATCATTTGAATAAACTATGCCATGAATGTGGCCATAAGATTGATCATTTGGCTTGAAAGACATTGATCTCCACACGTGATAGCTCGTTTCCGAGAACACTTTTTTAAAATAATTTCCGTATTACAAGTTTGTTATTTTTCTTGGGAACTTGGCCACATATAATGACACAATGCAAAGGTTTCCCAATTTTTTGATTTTTTTGAATTTTTTATGCCCATTTAAAAATGCAGTCAAAACATCAGGAATGACCGTTCCTAGCTAGTGGTTGAATCTTGGAATTTTTTTGGTGTTTCTCTGATTAAATAGATACTTATGTACCTAGAAATGATTTTTGGAAAAAATAAATAGCAAACTACAAGGCATCTACAGTTCAAATTTGACCCGCTTCTAGCTGAATCGGCGACAATTTGTCTTTTTCATGAGAGGTGGATCAAAAACTTTTTACACCCAACCATTGGGTTAATTGTGCATTAAATATGGCCTAGTATTTTAGAAAAATGATTTGGTCCAATTTTGCAACAATTATTTGGGAGGTCCTTCACAAAAAAAACCTCCTTTTGGGCACTCGAAAAATGGAAAATGGTTTGTTTGTCCAAAGAAAATGAAAACTTTCTTAGGCAACATTGTTTACCATTCCAATATGCACCCTTGTGCACAATATGAGATCATTTGAATAAACTATGTCATGAATGTGGCCATAAGATTGATCATTTGGCTTGAAAGCCATTGATCTCCACACGTGATAGCTCGTTTCTGAGAACACTTTTTTAAAATAATTGTCGTATTACAAGTTTGTTATTTTTCCTGGGAACTTGGATACATATAATGACACAATGCGAAGGTTTCCCAATTTTTGATTTTTTTGAATTTTTTATGCCCGTTTCAATATGCGGTCAAAACGACAAGAATGACCGTTCCTAGCTAGTGTTGAATCTTGGAATTTTTTTAGTGTTTCTCTGATTAAATAGATACTTATGTACCTAGAAATGATTTTTGGGAAAAATAAAGAGCAAACTACAAGGCAGCTACAATTCAAATTTGACCCGCTTTCAGCTGAATCGGTGAAAATTTATCTTTTTCACGAGAGGTGGATCAAAACTTTTTACACCCAACCATTTGGTTAATTGTGCATTAAATATGGCCTAGTATTTTAGAAAAATGATTTGGTCCAATTTTGCAACAATTATTTGGTAGGTCCTTCATAAAAAAAAACTCATTTTGGGCACTCGAAAAATGATTAAAAATAGCTAGAAAGATCAGAAATGCGTAAAAATTGGTCCTTATCCATAAAATATGGTCTAACTCTAGTGAAAATTTGTGTGGTAACCTTTTGCAAAATATTTTTGATAGCTACTTCACAAAATCCCTCTACTTTTCATACTTGGAAACTCGTTTAAATTACTGGTTTTCCGAACCAATCAGAACAATTTCCACGGATCGATGACATGGCGCTCATCCATCCATCCATCTCTCCATCCCAAATCCATCCATCCATCTATCTACATAAAAAAGGAAAAAATATTGAAAAAGAGGTACCCCACCCGCAGCCCAAACCCTAGCTTAGATCCCCCGTCTCCTCGCAGCCGCCGCCCCCTCCCGATCTAGTCCTCCCTCCCACCGCCGACCTCAAGCAAGGACGACGGAGATCCAATCCTCTCCCCGCGCGGCAACCCTTCCTCCTACCCACCGCTGACCTCGCCGTCCTCCTCACCCATCGCCCACCTCGTCCCTCCGTCCCCTCACCATCTCTCCCTACCCTCCGCCCTCTGCCCCCGCACCCCATACTGTCCACCATGGCCGTCTCCCCCTCCTCCTCACTCCGGATCCCTGCACCAACCCACCACCCCGCCATGGGGGCATGTCCGTGGTGGCTGCCCTTCCATGCCGTCTCCCCGTAGTAGGCATCGGCACCGGGCGACGGTGACGACACCAACGGGCCCACCGGCGTGCCCGTGCCCTTCTCCCGTGCGGGCGGCTGTTCCGGCGAGGGTCGACGCTGCAGGCGGTGCGTGAGGAGGTGGACGACTTCCTCGGCAGCAGCAAGTGCGCCTTCAAGTAAGAGGTCGACGTCTGCATCCGCCGCCTCCAGCGCCAGGAGCTCTACCTCAAGGTCCGCCCCTTCCTCCCCCCTCCCAATCTCGTCGCTAGCCTCGGTTCCAGCTGCATGCCGACCTCCATCACTTTTGCGGCAGAATACACCATCTGAGGTTCTGCTTACTGGTGTGGTAGTGTGCCATTAGCTTCGTAGGCCACAAAATCATTGGCTGGTTTGGCCCTCTAAAATGATTAATTTGATTATTAGCTGCATTGTATGTTTGCTCTCAGGATATCGAGATTGTTGTGGGGGTATTGATGTTGTCAATTTGCTAAGTGAAACAATGATAAATGTCTGAAACATTGAAATGAAAAGAAATGCCCCTCTATGTGTTCCTCCATTTATGTCCCCCTCTACCCGGTGTTGTTTATGCTAACAGGACATCTCTGTTGTTGGTGATTCAGTTGTGGAATGTAGTACTGACTGGTGTAGGATACATTTTAATGCTGTCTTCAGGCCATGTTTTCTTCTGTTTAAGCGGACACTGTATAGTCTAGTGTAAGGTTGACCTCCATTTTGCTGATGAAAGACCGTCATTTATTTCTTATAACTGCCCTGTTTGATTTCATCTGTAGTTTTATGAATGACCTTTAGCTTCTCCCCCCTGCCAAAAGAAACTTGTACCACAATTTCTTCCCCATTTCTTTCGCACAGTTAGGTTCTTAGTCTCTAGTTTACTAGTCCTGTGGTTCTGGGTTGTGCTTAGTTGCAAAGAGCCGTTTGGAGCATCTCCTTGCTGTGGGTGTCTCTTTCAGTAAGCGTTTTGCTTATTGTCCTTAGTGTGCTGCTATCCATACTTCTGAGCATATTATTGTCTAGCCTCTTTTGTGATTAGTCCTCATTTTTAATGACGTTATTGTTTATCTAAGATCATTTGAAGTTTTGAGCTGGCACCTAGCTAGCCTCTTTTGTGATTAGTCTTCATTTTTAATGTCATCCACATTATTTTTTTTGTTAATTTTGTTCCTTGTATGAACAACCTTATAATTTTGGGCAGGAGCCGGAGGCGCAGCCACGCAAGGTTGAGCCGGCCATGGAGATCCTCTTCCTCTACAGCTACGACAACTGTGGCAAGACCTTCGTCGATGTGGCTGCCTTGAGGAAGCATTCCCACATGCATGGCGGATGGCAGTATGTTTGCGAGGAGCCCGGCTGTGGGAAAGTGTCTCTAGTAAAAGATTACTTTATGCGTTTACCAGTGCCTACTCTAGCGTTGGTGAACTTATCCACTTACTACTGTTGGTGAACTTCCATTTGTTTTCATGCTCAGATGCGAAATGGATTTAAGCTCCTTATCTTTCTTATTATCCACAAGGACCTTCCTATGCTGTGCTTAGTTATTCCTGGAGTTATGGCCCAATAGATTTGTTTTAGTACAACTATACATGTAAGACGTTTGGTTATGTCCTAAATTGATAAAATGAAAAAACTATCATATGTGTCCTTGCTGCTGATGGGAGAATGCAATTCCTAACTACGTGACTGTTCTTTTTGTACAGAAATGATGAATCCTTTTTCTGTTTGTTTTGCAGAAATTTGTAGATAGCTCAAAGTTGAACAACTCCCTCAATGATGAATCCCTTCTCTTCTTCTGGTTTCCTTCATCCCCGCATCTGATTCCTGCGTGCGTGTGGTCTCTGCAGTTTGCTCCCTCGATCTGCTATGGTCTACTTCAGCTCGTGTGAATAGGTCAAACTACTTCTTTTGTGTGCTTCAAACTGCTATTTTGGGTGTAGAAAATTTTCATTAGTACTAGTAAACGGTGGCATCACATCTCTGATATTATGCTGCTGCTGATGTGCTATTTATAGCTACAGTTTGACAATACTCATTAGGCTTGCTAGACATATAGGTCTTCTTGCACAAATAAAACATCATAGAGTTAGTCAAGTATTTGCATAGATATGTCTTCTTGCGCCACATCACTTGGTCCTGGATAGAAGAATATGGTGCTGGTTGCACCTTTCTTCGATAATCTGACCTGGTGTAATTTTTCCAGTAACTGATCTCGTGTACCCAAATCTAGTATGTATCTTTTATGTTTGCTGAAGCGTACTATGCTTGCTAAGACCAGGTTTCTGTTCTTTTTGGTATTACTTGGATCTTTTTTGACAATCTAACTAGACGATTGTTTCCAGCCTTTGAACTCCTAGGAGATTTTAACACAAATTGTAAAAGATGCTGCCCTGCTAAAGGAGGATGAGGATGAGGGGCGCACCTAGCCATTGGCCCTGCTCTGCTCAAGGAGGAGGGGCATGAGAGGCCTTCTCCTGTTCCCCTAGTGTGACCAAGAGGTCCTGCCCGAGATCATGCACGGCCATGACGACCCACCACGGCAGGTAGCATCTCCATCTCTCTCCCCCTCTTTCTCTGCTTACTAATGCCGCTAAATTAAGGAATATTAGATGCAAATCCTGGTTATGTCAAGGAATTCAAGAGGGATTTGTATGCACAAGTCCAATTTTTTATTTAGTTAGTACCAAACAGAGAAGATGCAGTCCAGATTGGTTAATGTTGCTGCAACCACATGGATTTGTATCTATGCAACCATGTCCCTGTTGTTTGTGTTATTTGGATTGCAAGAAATTCAGTTTTGGGTGACCTGCACTTAGTTTAACTTCTCTAAATAATCAACCGTCTTACATAAATATGTCGTGTCATGCTCCTTTCTTCTCTTTGCCATGAATTGGTGTAACTTGATGGCACTAGTCGAATAAACTATTCTGTTAATTTCCTAGTATATGTGAACTAATTTTGCGTGCGTCTTCCATGCATGTTTGCAGCCACATCTCTGGGTACAAGAACCAGTTCCAGAACTTCATCAAGCACCTGCGCGAAATGGGTGATGAGGTAGTACATTTTTCTACTATCATTGGTTGAGTACTACTGAATACTTATGCTGGTGGGTTTGACACAACTATAGGATAGTGGATTAGTAGCATGCCTATTTGACTTAGTTTCTGGTGTGACCTACAATTCCTAGATGTGCATACTATAGAATGTTGACTGTAGTGTGGTACACTTCCTGGAGCATAGTAATGCCTTACCAAGTAGCAATTGCATGAAGATAGTCCACAACACAAAAACTATGTGTAATGGATCCATGACTTACAATCTGTACATGAATACCCATGTGTAATGACTTATTTTTTGCATTGTCTGGACATTTTTTTGCTGCTGTATTGTTTCTCACTCATGATTGATCTACTGCCAGGTGAAGGTTTTCAATTGTTGAAGGAGGAGGACAATAGGAACTTCTATGATGTCTTGTCATCTATTTTTTTTCTTTGCTGTAGAATAGTTTTGCTTGGCACTTACTGGTTCCTTGGATGTAAAGATATGTACTGCTAGAATGAATGCATGTAAAGATATTTTGGGCTCCTATAATATTCCATGTTGCTTTGAAAATGTATTGGAACTGGGCTAGGCCCAAGATAGCTTGTAGTGTGATGTGTTTTAATGCCAATGGCATAATAAAAGAAGTTGGATTGGATCAATTATTTCAGCCCAGCCCAAGATATATTGAATAATTATTTCTGAGGGGAAAACTTCAGAGGCCCAGCAAAGAAATGGCCCAGAAAAAGCAAGACCAAAAAAATCTATCAAAAGGGATAGGCAAAGAAATTTAAAAGGCTGAATTACTGGGCCAGGCCCATGTAGCTAGCGAAAATTAACAAAAATATATATTAAAAAGACTGAATTAATGGGCTCGGCCCATCTAAAGCACTGAAATGGACCGGGCTGATTCTAAGTAATGACCTTTTGAATTGGTCGCAATTTTGCCACGTCAGATTGCCACGTCGGATCTGACGTGGCCTGGGCAGACAGCCAATGACCAAAATAAAAGGTCATGGGTTCAACGACCTTCTGTGAGAAGGTCGTTAATTTTAGTTTACGACCGCCAGCTTTTGACCTTTTGTTTTTGGTCACAAAAAGGTCGCAAATGAAAACTATGACCTTTCAGCGGCAAATAGTGAGGGTCACAAGTTGACATATTTCTTGTAGTGGTTCAATGACGATCGATATTATGAGTTTACATGTTTTGATGTACTGAAGGTAGTTCGGAGTCCCGGATGTGATCACGGACATGACGAGGAGTCTCGAAATGGTTGAGACATAAAGATTGATATATTGGACGATGTTATTCGGACACCGGATGAG